CCTCTCAAGAATGGAAGTAGTCATCACATACAGAGCATCAACTAGTTCCTGAACAGTGTCCTTCACATGCTGATATCCAAGAGAGGGAGTTACACAGTCACAAGATGGAGGAATAGAAATCAGTATTCAATGTTTACTTCAGATTAGCTCCACGTCAGAAATGATCATGCTTGTCATATCTCGGCACGACAGGTTGTTAATCACATAGCTATCATATGCCTAAAACAGTCCTGACTCTCTTCTAGGTAATCATACATCCTGTCATGTACTCAGCTACGTAGGGCCTTTGTTATCATGTGCTACTCTGATATTTAAAGTTCAGTATTTTCCCAACATTATTTTATTTTAATATGTTCTGATCACTCAGTGGAACATCACAGCGGTCTGTAGAGCCGTGCTATTCAGTAGAAATACCGCAGTAGTGTTTCAAATGGTTGATCATTGATTCCAAACCATACTGAAAGTGCTCCCCCACCACATTGCTTTTTTCTTTTACCCTGCTCTCTGCACGGCAGTTGGGTTTTGCAAGCCTAGGTTGTCAATATCATTGTCTACAATAGCCTATTTAGTAAACTAGGACACTGAGGTTTTAATGTTTCACCATGTCCTGTGTTGTTGGAACAAGTTTTATATAATGCTGAAATTCTCTGGAAATAGTGTTGTTGACAAAATCAACTTCTCTTATAGTAAATTCTGGTCTGGGTGCATTTGAGAAATCTTAGACACTGTTTAAACTTGGTTTTAAATGTGTTGCGGTGATCGAAGTGGTCAGGCAGGACACATCTCCTTTCAAAATGTCTTATGCGTCTGTTCAGATTTCGTTACTGCCTTTGTCACTTTAGGTTAAAGTGCTCAGTCTTTACATCAGTCTGTATGTAACCATTGTCATTGGAGCTATTAGTAGCCTTCTGTTAGCTACTGGTTGACGTGCTTCGCTAGTTGTTAGCCTACCATACGCTACGTCCTGCTTTGTGCTTTATTGAAAACAGAATTTTCAGACATGTCCTTCTGTTGTAGCATAACCATAATGTTATTTGCTTCATTGTGCATGAACATGAACACATTCAATTTAGGCTTTCCCCTGATAACAAAACACACAGTATTAAAAGCTACATTTTTGCACTTATAGCAGTAAAAAAATGTTTGCCTATCTGGGGGTCAAAAACCACTGAGCAACTGCTACTTTCTTACATTTTAATAACACTAGCTAGCTAACTAACTAACACTACTAGCACTTGCAACACAGTCTCACTGCATTTTGTGTTATAGGCCTACTCACGAAATTAATCTATTGATTCGTGTTCACCAACACGATTTTCGCATTTTTTTCGTGTCACACAGAACGATTTTAAAAGCAGTGTAAATAATAACAAATTTGAAGGAAAAAGAGATTTAAAAAAATACAGATTTCAGTATTCTGACACAGAAAGATTTTAGAAGCAATGTATTTCTATTGGTAGTAATGTTTTGTGCCTGCACCAAATCATAACAAATTAGAAGGAAAAAAATATATAGATTTCAGTATTCTGAGGCTCTGAGCCATTTTTTTTCCTCGTGGACGGCAAAAGAACTCCGACATATAATATACAATTTAAAATAAAAGGGTTAGGCTTAGGGTAAGATATTGAGTAAGAAAATGTTTTTATGAACCACATAGCTTCTGGTCAAAAAGACGTGGTGCAGGCACGAAATATACTACCAATAGAAATACATTGCTTTTAAAATCGTTCTGTGTTGGTGAACACGAATCAATGGATTAAATTAATTATGTGGCTATAACACAAAATGCCGTGAGACTGGGTTGGCACTAGATAGCGTGAAGAGCCTTGTTAAGTGAAGGAATCAAGTTTAACAAGTTTAGTTTCCTGCATTTGTGTTAATCTACAGAAGCTAGTTTGTGGATTTCTAATGACTTTGTTGTTATTTTAGCTAACTCGAGCTCAATGGTAAAATCTGAAAAGCAGTTTGTCAGATTAACAACTTAAACTAGATGGAGGGAAGGTGGAAAAACTGCCACGAAAAGTGACACTATTGTTTGTCTAAGAATAACATGTTCATGGATTTCGCAATTATTGCTTAACACCCTCATGTTTACTGTATTAATGACTCAACATGTGTTTTCCAGGGAACAATAAGTTGAGAGAGGAAAGAAACAACTACAGTGACGAGCTACTGAGAGTGAAGGATGAAAACTACAAACTGGCCATGAGGTACGCCACGCTGAGCGAGGAGAAGAACATGGCGGTGATGAGGAGCCGCGACCTGCAGCTAGTGGTACTGATGAACGTGTGAATGCATGGAAACATTGTCATTGCATTATGTTCTTGCAAACTTGTATGCACACACAACGAGTTTGAGGACATTAAAGGTCACCTATTGCGCAAAATCCACTTCTTCATGTCTCTTCTACATCAACATGTGTCCCCTCTTCTCCATGTCTCTTCTACATCAACATGTGTCCCCTCTTCTTCATGTCTCTTCTACATCAACATGTGTCCCCTCTT